CCCATTCTTTCACCAAGATCTGCAAATTCTCCTCCTCCTCCTCAGCCTCCTCCCCCTTCTCTTCCTCCTCCTCCTCCTCCTCCTCCTCCTCCTCCTCCTCCTCCGCCTTCCTCTCCCTCCTTCCTACTCCTAGTGGGTGTTCTAATTATTCTAGTGATGGCAGTTCTCTCATCCGCTACAACTGCTCTGATGTTTGTGCCTATTTCCAAAAAGTTCAACGGAAAAAAGGAAAAAGGTTCTCAGAACGATTCTACCCAGATCTTATGCGCCTTTTCCTTGTACACGTGCCTGTTCTTGTCCCTTGACCCTCGTCCCTACTTCGCATCCTCATTTCCATGCCAATGAATCACTATCGGTAGTTCGGGACAACCATCAAGGCAGTTCTATCGAATCGAATCCCACCCTATCCTATCATATCTTCCCATTCCTTATCCTTTTTTAATCTTGTCCTACCCTATTTTTACTCTCTATCCAATAGAGACCTAGTGATTGAACAGCCTCGCTCGAGATCGCCTCATCCGCCACATCGGTGACGTACTCCTCTCTGCCGTGTGATGGTAGTTCAGCCGTCCTGTGTCCTCGTGTGCACCTACATCTGTGACGTACTCCTCTCTGCCGTGTGATGGTAGTTCAGCCGTCCTGTGTCCTCGTGTGCACCTGTGTTTCAATCCCTCTCCCTCTCCCTCTTCAATATCTCAATATACCATACAGAGGGTGATGATGGAAGGTGGTGGTGGAAAGCATGCTGGGGATGGGCAGAGAGAGAAATGACCGGGATCGGGAGGTGAGAAAGCCCATGTCGAACGTCAGCCCAAGATATTCTGCATGCTCTCCTGCATAAAACATGTATCATGTTCCGCGTCCGCACCTCCGTCGTCCATCTCTTCATCCCTCACCGCATGATCATCATCAACATTCTCTCTCTCTCTCTCTCTCTCTCTCTCTCTCTCTCTCTCTCTCTCTCTCTCTCTCTCTCTCTCTCTCCCTCCCTCCCCCCCCACACCCACACATACACGAACATGCGCTCGCGAGCAAGCAATGGAGACAACAGCCGGCTTGGTTGACTAAAAGAAGGGCTGCATTTCCCTCTTTACTTCCTTCCCGACGAACGGTACTAACACCATCAACAGACTATGAAGACGTCGAAGCCTCATGTCACAACGATGCTCCCTACCCACCTTTGCTCAAGTACTTCACAAAGCCACACAGGTTGTTAACTAATTGTTGTCATCACACAGATCGTCCAAGATCATGCTGTATGTTGCGCTGCATTACTTCGTACAGCATCATGGCTGTAGATTGCAATCACAGAGAGATCGGAGAATTGACTAATAGGTAGAGCCAACTCGACCTCGGAACTGACTTACACGACGACGTTGCCCGATAATTCACCCTTGACCTGCCAGAGTTCGAGTTCGAATTCGTTCTACAGAAAATATCCGACGACGCTGCCCCAGAAAATACACGGATGCGCAGAGAATGTATTACACCAGATTGTCCCACCGAGCTGACTGGAGTTGAGTTGGCACGCAGTGTTCCGCCGCAAATGCGTCAAATCGAGGCCTATAGACAAGGAGAAAGGAAATTGAAACGCAAAACCGTTGTACTTGATCAGCAAGCAAGGGAAACGGGGAGTGGAGGGGAGGGGGGGGATGATACCAAGAGAAAAGAGGAAAAATAAGGGGTGAAGGTGATAGAGAGTCACGGAGAAGAAGAGACCAGAGGCAGTCAAATATAAAGACTTGAAAAGGGAAAAAGTTAAACAAACTCCATGAACAATGAGGGTCGGGATCGATGGATCTCTCTCTCTCTCACACACACACACACACACACACACACACACACACACACACACACACACAAATATAAAGACTAATCGGTAAAGAAAAAAAAAATCAACCACTCCACGAACAATGAGCTCGAACATGAACAGAACGAGGGGAAGCAAAACCATGGACTGGAAGGGGAAAATGAAAGAAAACACATCCTCTTCCTTGATCGTAACTTCTCTCTCTCTCTCTCTCTCTCTCTCTCTCTCTCTCTCTCTCTCTCTCTCTCTCTC